GTGTGAATGAAGAATTAAGTGTGGATATGACGGGATGAATGAGAAGACGAGAATGATGTTTGTAAATTCATTGTATTATGGGAACAGTAAGGATCTACACCTTAAGACATGTACTGCCAGAGACGATGCTGTAATGTCTGTTCTTCAATCAGTAAATCAAAATTACTCTCAATATATTACGTTATCTGACTGTATAGTCTCGACTAGGAAGTCAATCTAAAAGTGAAACACTATTTTGGGTGATTTAAGAGCTGCATCATAGTGACATACTGCATACCTAAAGTTTATAAAAGAAAATGTAATTGTAGAAGGTGCCTATACTTGTAGAGCTTAAAGTTCACTTTAACTGGCATTTTAAAATAAATATTCTAGAAACAGATGTACATTTCTTTTGTTAAATGTAATGCCCACAAGATACCCGCTAGCGTCCCATTTCTTGTCAATCTGCTTTAATACTTGACTTTTCAGAACCAGTGAACCAATCATACATATTCGCTGGCCTCTGCTCAGATCTGCATAATTTTGTCAGCCACTTCCAGACTTAAAACATAAGGTATCCCATGGCTGCTTCAACTCATTTTGTCAACCTCTTCCAGACTTAAATACATACTTCCCCATTGTTACTTTAACTCATTCTGTCAACCTCTTCCAGACTTAAACACACACCACACCATTGTTACTTTTACTCATTCCGCCTCACCGTCAACATCATGTGCTCTGTCAGACAGGCTAGGCATTCATGACCCTCTACAGCAGTAGTTCAACTTATGTGTCATGACCCGTTTTGAGGTCGAACAACCCTTTTACATGGGTTGCCAAAAACCTTCTCAAAACAAATATTCATCGAAGTTATGAAGAAGAGACGAAAATAATTGTATTGGGGTGGGGGGTCACCACAACATAAGTAAATGTATTAAAGGATCGCTACAACATAAGGACCAGTATTAAAGGGTCGCTACATTAGGAACTGTATTAAAGGTCGCCACAACATAAGGAATTGTATTAAAGGATCGTCACAACATAAGGAACTATTAAAGGGTCGCCACAACATGAGGAACTGTATTAAAGGGTCGCCACAACACGAGGAACTGTATTAAAGGGTCGCCACAACACGAGGAACTGTATTAAAGGGTCGCCACAACATGAGGAACTATATTAAAGGGTCGCCACAACATAACTGTATTAAAGGGTCGCCACAACATGAGGAACTGTATTAAAGGGTCGCTACAACATGAACTGTATTAAAGGGTCGCTACAACATGAACTGTATTAAAGGGTCGCCACAACATAACTGTATTAAAGGGTCGCCACAACATGAGGAACTGTATTAAAGGGTTGCCACAACATAAGGAACTGTATTAAAGGGTCGCCACAACATGAGAAACTGTATTAAAGGGTCGCCACAACATGAGGAACTGTATTAAAGGAACATCACAACATGAGGAACTGTATTAAAGGGTCGCCAAAACATAACTGTATTAAAGGGTCGCCACAACATAACTGTATTAAAGGGTCGCCACAACATGAGGAACTGTATTAAAGGGTCGCCACAACATGAAATGTATTAAAGGGTCGCCACAACATGAGGAACTGTATTAAAGGGTTGCCACAACATAAGGAACTGTATTAAAGGGTCACCACAACATGAGAAACTGTATTAAAGGGTCGCCACAACATGAGGAACTGTATTAAAGGAACATCACAACATAAGGAACTGTATTAAAGGGTCGCCACAACATAAGGAACTGTATTAAAGGAACATCACAACATGAGGAACTGTATTAAAGGGTCGCCACAACATGAGGAACTGTATTAAAGGAACATCACAACATGAGGAACTGTATTAAAGGGTCGCCACAACATGAGGAACTGTATTAAAGGAACATCACAACATGAACTGTATTAAAGGGTCGCCACAACATAAGGAACTGTATTAAAGGGTCGCCACAACATAACTGTATTAAAGGGTCGCCACAACATGAGGAACTGTATTAAAGGGTTGCCACAACATAAGGAACTGTATTAAAGGGTCGCCACAACATGAGAAACTGTATTAAAGGGTCGCCACAACATGAGGAACTGTATTAAAGGAACATCACAACATGAGGAACTGTATTAAATGGTCGCCACAACATAAGGAACTGTATTAAAGGAACATCACAACATGAGGAACTGTATTAAAGGGTCGCCACAACAAGAGGAACTGTATTAAATGATCACCACAACATGAGGAACTGTATTAAATGATCACTACAACATGAGGAACTGTATTAAAGGGTCGCCACAACATGAGGAACTGTATTAAAGGGTCGCCACAACATAACTGTATTAAAGGGTCGCCACAACATGAGGAACTGTATTAAAGGGTTGCCACAACATGAGGAACTGTATTAAAGGGTTGCCACAACATGAGAAACTGTATTAAAGGGTCCCCACAACATGAGGAACTATTAAAGGAACATCACAACATGAGGAACTGTATTAAAGGGTCGCCACAACATAAGGAACTGTATTAAAGGGTCGCCACAACATGAGGAACTGTATTAAATGATCACTACAACATGAGGAACTGTATTAAGGGGTCACCATAACATGAGGAACTGTATTAAATGATCACCACAACATGAGGAACTGTATTAAAGGGTCGCCACAACATGAGGAACTGTATTAAATGATCACCACAACATGAGGAACTGTATTAAATGATCACCACAACATGAGGAACTGTATTAAATGATCACTACAACATGAGGAACTGTATTAAAGGGTCGCCACAACATGAGGAACTGTATTAAATGATCACGACAACATGAGGAACTGTATTAAAGGGTCGCCACAACATGAGGAACTGTATTAAAGGGTTGCCACAACATAAGGAACTGTATTAAAGGGTCGCCACAACATGAGGAACTGTAATAAATGATCACTACAACATGAGGAACTGTATTAAGGGGTCACCACAACATGAGGAACTGTATTAAATGATCACCACAACATGAGGAACTGTATTAAAAGGTCGCCACAACATGAGGAACTGTATTAAATGATCAGTACAACATGAGGAACTGTATTAAATGATCACCACAACATGAGGAACTGTATTAAATGATCACTACAACATGAGGAACTGTATTAAAGGGTCGCCACAACATGAGGAACTGTATTAAAGGGTCGCCACAACATAACTGTATTAAAGGGTCGCCACAACATGAACTGTATTAAAGGGTTGCCACAACATAAGGAACTGTATTAAAGGGTCGCCACAACATGAGAAACTGTATTAAAGGGTCGCCACAACATGAGGAACTGTATTAAAGGAACATCATAACATGAGGAACTGTATTAAAGGGTCGCCACAACATAAGGAACTGTATTAAAGGGTCGCCACAACATGAGGAACTGTATTAAATGATCACTACAACATGAGGAACTGTATTAAGGGGTCACCATAACATGAGGAACTGTATTAAATGATCACCACAACATGAGGAACTGTATTAAAGTTTCGCCACAACATGAGGAACTGTATTAAATGATCACCACAACATGAGGAACTGTATTAAATGATCACCACAACATGAGGAACTGTATTAAATGATCACTACAACATGAACTGTATTAAAGGGTCGCCACAACATGAGGAACTGTATTAAATGATCACCACAACATGAGGAACTGTATTAAAGGGTCGCCACAATATGAGGAACTGTATTAAAGGGTTGCCACAACATAAGGATCTGTATTAAAGGGTCGCCACAACATGAGGAACTGTATTAAATGATCACTACAACATGAGGAACTGTATTAAGGGGTCACCACAACATGAGGAACTGTATTAAATGATCACCACAACATGAGGAACTGTATTAAAAGGTCGCCACAACATGAGGAACTGTATTAAATGATCACTACAACATGAGGAACTGTATTAAATGATCACTACAACATGAGGAACTGTATTAAAGGGTCGCCACAACATGAGGAACTGTATTAAAGGATCGCCACACATGAGGAACTGTATTAAAGGGTCGCCACAACATGAGGAACTGTATTAAGGGGTCGCGGCATTAGGAAGGCTAGGAACAGATGATCTACATTGTTGCACCCCTGGTGTTCTGAATAACTCTGATGGGCGATATTCTGTGTCAGCATCCAGACCATCCATCATCTAAACCATTTAGCATCTAGACCATCCAGCATCTAGACCATCCAGCAGCTAGGCCATCCATTATCTAAACCACCCATCATCTAAACCATCCAGCATCTAGGCCATCCATTATCTAAACCACCCATCATCTAAACCATCCAGCATCTAAACCCTCCAGCATCTAAACCATCCAGCATCTAAACCATCCAGCATCTAAACCATCCAGCATCTAGACCATCCATTATCTAAACCACCCATCATCTAAACCATTCAGCATCACTTCTGGTTTCTGCTGCCTTCTCTGCCACTGATTTTTCCATTCATCAACATGTTCTGCAGAGCCTCTCTTATCCTCATGTTATTTCAGTTCCAACATTTAACAGTTTTTTAAATTAACGGCTAAAAGTAAGAGTCAAAGTGACACTTCAGTACAAAAGGAAAAAAGTAACAACTCAATAAAGGAATCAAAATAATGTATTCAATAAGGAGTCTCACAGTATAGAATTGACCAGATTAACAACTTAGTCCAGGAGTCTAATAATTTAGAATAGAAAACACCAGACTAATAACTTCATAGAGGCTCTAACAATTTTGTTTAAGAAGAGCAAGTCTAAAAACTTTAACAGATGTCTAATAATTTAGTAGAATGAGCCAAACCAACAACTTAGCACAGGAGTATAATAACTGAGTATAGAAAGCACTAAGCTAATAAGAACAGGTGTCTAACAACTGAGCAAAGCAGTCACAGTAAAACCTGGCTGACAGTGAAAGAATTATCCTGTCAATGGATCTCCCAGAAAGCATGGAGACCATATTCCAACTTTTCCTTCCCTGACAAGCTGGCAAAATGTACTCAAGTTGACATTTCCTTCCTTCTCCTGTAGAATGCCAGAGAACAACTCCCACATCAGTGGGTTCTGTTCAATGCTGGAATATTTGTGCATCTTCAACTCTCTAATGAAGTCCTTGAACTTTTCAGAAACTGTCCTCGACTGGGTCAAAGCCAAAATGTATCTGGGTGTAAAAAAAAGAAAAGTAGTTTTTACTCTTAATGCTCTCAGTAAAGTTGAATAAGTTTGTGGTAGGAAACTATTTTTGTGTTCTCCTTGCTAGTGACTATTTGATAAAAAGGTCATATAGGACTACCAGTACTTACAATGTTGCCTTGTAGACAGGTAGATCTTTGAGTCTGAGGATTTAAGGCTGCAGTTCTAGTGCAGTCAACCCAAAACTCTTACTGATTATTCGAACCCGGGTCTTCTGCATGAGAGCGCAGAATTCCTTATCAAGCGCAGAATCCCTTATCAGAGACCAGAGAGCCCATTCACTGCCAGTCGAGACAGTATTTAGGTCTGTGTCCTTTGATCACATCCAAACTGCAAGAATCCTTTTCAGGGCTACTTGGCAGCGAGCAACACTAATCCATTTTATATGGCACGCATAACCTAGCCACAACTATAACCTTCAACTCTCCCTTTGTAGATGCTGGTTGAACATGCTTTTAATTTTTTTTTTCGCAAAGATTATGTTTGTACTCAGCAGGAGTGTTGTCTTAGGTGTGTCTGGGTAGTTAAGTCAGTCAGCTGGCCTACCTAGCGAGCCATATTAATTAAACAGAGTAGATTAGGTCTCTGACACAAGCCAAGACAAGCACAGAATTCATAACTGTTTGACTAGCTTGTGATAATCTGACCTAGACTAGACAGACAGAACTATACAGGTCTACAGCATTCACAAACTAAATACCTGGCCAGAAGAAGTGACGGCTTCTTACGATGTTTCTCTAGGCTGTACTTCAGGCATAAAATGAGCTGCCATCTGATTGCTTCTGCCAATGGGGATCTCACTGTGCTGTCTCTGTCTAAACATTGACAGAAATGGCAAAAGTAATAAACTTATGAATTTCATGGACACTTTTTCATTCTCTCATTGACTTCTCTATTGCATTCACACCCATATAAAGTTTGGTGAAAAGTTCTCGTTCATCCATCTCTGGATTTCAGGCTTCTTCTAGAACTTGGAGTTTTGCATACATATCTGTTTCACTTTCTTCTTCCTGATGTTCACCAGTTGTAACTTCTGGTGCAAGACTCTGGTAGTTTGCCCACTTCTGGACTCTAGTTATGTTCCAGAACCTAAGTGTTGCATGTACATTCATTTTACAGATCTGACTTATGTGCAGACTGTTGGTTCCTTGCCTCTTAGACAGATGCACTCATATGACAACTAATTCATTGATTTTTATAGCATGTTTGTTAGGGAGGCTGCAGGTCCATTCTTTCCTTTCCCTGAAACAGGGCTTTGCGACCCAGATAAGAAGCTGACAACTATTGAGGGAGCTGGTTTTGACATTTCTCATAACCTGATATAAAAATACCTTCACAAATCCAGTCGCTCTCTGTAGTAGCAACATTTACTAAGTGAGGCTCCCAAACTCTTCCACGGATAAAGTCTTAGTCTCATAGCACTGTCGTCTGCCGCCTCTTAGCATTCAGCAGCCGCAAACTCTATCAAAAGTTCTAATTACTGTTCAACAACTTTTGGACTTTGGTTCTGTTCCTGAACTTGAGTTTTACAGATCTGGCATGTTTGTATGTAGACTGTTGATTCCTTGGCTCTCAGGCAGATGCACTGTGACTTCGAATGAAACTCATAATTAATTACCTCTTATGATACGCTTGTTGGGGGAGGGGGTAGTGGGTCTATTATGTTTCCTCCAACACAGGGGAATCCAAACAAGGAGTACCAATTTCCAAAATCCACGAATGCTTTAAGTAAACATCCACCATGGAAACTGAGCTCTGGTACTTGAGGACAGGATCATGAAATTGTTAAATTCATTCAACAGTAGGATAATCAGATCACAGTTCACCCCAATAATATGTACAGGCTGTGGGGTTAAGCCTGAACTGCCAATTTCGCATAAGCAGATGAGACATTTCATCACCAACAGGTTCCAATCCAGTGGCTAGAGAAGAGAATCACTACAATCGAAGGTTAGAGGAAAGGATCACTCCAATCCAATGGCTAGAAGGGAGGATCAGTCATATGCCTGTTTCTAAGGTGTAGACAGAAATACTTATTCTTATACATGTACCTGTAGACATGACCAGAACAGCTTTCAACAGCACCTCCTCCTCTTCACTGATAGCCATCTTCTGCAGTTTATCACAGAAACTGTCAAAACAGAAAATGTTCAAACATAACTACTATTGTGGCAATAATATGCAATAAACAATCAAAGTTAACCGATATTTACAAATATCTAAAACTGATATAGACAAACTAATTGATGCATTACAAGCTAGATGTTGTAGTCCTTTTGGAGCAACTGAACAGAGCAGAGGTACAAATCGATCACTACTTTTGAGCAACTGAACAGAGCAGAGGTACAAATCGATCACTACTTTTGTAGCAACTGAACAGAGCAGAGGTACAAATCGATCACTACTTTTGGAGCAACTGAACAGAGCAGAGATACAAATCGATCACTACTTTTGGAGCAACTGAACAGAGCAGAGATACAAATCGATCACTACTTTTGGAGCAACTGAACAGAGCAGAGGTACAAATCGATCACTACAGTATGAGGAGATTGGTGCTGTGAGGAGTGGCCATGGAATCTTGACTGATGCTCAGCATGCAAGGGAAAAGCGCAATGAAAATACAACTAGACTATAACAGGTGCCAAAGGAATTTCACCTGTGTACTTGCTGCTGAAGATGAAGGTGCACTTATGGGAATCTCCCAAATGTTGTGATCTCTATTCTCGATTAAACATTCAATCTGCTTAACAGTAAAACAGTGTGTCCTATTAAAACAAAGATTGGTTGAAAAAGATGTTTGAATTATTACTACTATGTTTCACTCTCTGTTTAAAATGATTTCCTATCTATCTCTAACCAACAAAATTAAAAATGCGCTCAGTGATATTTTTTAGCTAATTCCTTTCAAACTGTCAGGTTTAAAGTTTTACACTGGTAAAATAAAGTTAGCCCATAATTAAAAAAAACTGATTTACCTTGGTAGACGAAGTAATCCTATATTTAAAAAGTACCTTTTGTTGTCCCAGCACTAACAGTGATTACCTAAAACTAGCTAACAGAAGTAGACTGTTATTCACAGGAAAAATATACAAATAGAAAAAAAAAGCCACCCCCCCCCCCCATGTGAAGGATTCTTGTCCACGCCTTCAAGCATTTGGGGTATATAGGGCTAGACCTATAATTTATAGACCAATGGCACAAGATGGGTGATGTAGTCAGCATCATACCGGAGGATAAAGTAGCTCAGTAAAAAAAAGTCTGCTACATATTTATATAAAAACTGTAATAAGTACTTACATCATGTAATCTTCTATTGCCAGCTGGGAACCCAACTTTTTAATATCATTCAGACAAGCCCAACTTTCTCCTCCCAAACTAAGAGAAACACCCAGTTCTAGGTTCACAGTTGGGTAGATGGTGAAAATTGCTACTTCTGACCTGGCCACTGAAACAAGCAAATTTGTTAGTAATTTATGAGAGGGCAAATGGAAAACACAATATAAAATATCAAGTGAATATTCTAGGAATTTCATCCGCATAAGAGGCATTTTTAACTAATGAGCGCAAAGTCTGTGCATAAATCATAAACAAAGTAGGTCTGAACTCAGCCAGTATGTTGACTAATTTTGCTTGCATTTTAAGTTATAGTTCCAGTCCTGCAGACCTTTCTGTTTCTGATTTGGAGTGGAGGAAAAAAGCTCACAAAGGTTCCTGCTCCAATCTTCTGCCATATGCAAGACGTATTCAGGTCATGAACCCCAGCAATGATCCCCAGAAGTGTGCACAAAATTGTACTATGCCTTTAATGAATCGGTCTATGAAACAAACCCATGAGCTCCTGTGCACAAAGAAAATGGCTAAAGGCTAACATATGGCAATAATTCACAGGTCCTCTAATTCAAACTTAGTCTCCCAAAGAATTACCATTTTCATTCTACATTTAACAACACACTAATCTACATTTAACAACCCAGCAACCATAAAAATAATGTAGAATATCCTTCTGTCATAAGTAACTATGGCATGATGGGCCTTGACTGCAAGTCTTTATCCGAACAGCAAGACATTTCTTTTGGCACACTATTTCTTCTCAGCGCTTGCTTAAGGACTTTCGGTTATCTCACCTCAAATTGTTTCTACAGTGCATGACTTTCACACGCCACAATCAGAAGCTGATTCCTCGAAGATTGTGGTGTCCATCTCCAATATTTTTTGTCTCACATAATTTGAATTACAGTTGTAGACATTTATTCTTTCATTTACAGCTGTCACTGGTAATGTCCTTTTGAATGCATCCATCTGGCAATGGATATACATGACACAGTCATTACACACCAATGGATAATTTAAAGCAAGGCATGTTTGTGTTGTGTATATAGGATACTTACATTTGATAAGTTCCACCTGTGTGTTCATATCCAGCAATGAAAAACCTGGTATAGCTTTCGCAAAATGAACCAGTCCTCTTACACATTTTTCCATCCTGGCCAGATATTTTTGAATTATTGTTCGCCTGCAATTGAAATAAGAAAACATTGCAGTAAACTAAAATTATCACAGATGCCTTAAAATGTTGTCCAGCCAGAATTTTTTATACTACGCGAAGGAATATAACAGTCTCTACAGTCTGCAGACTGGCTGAAGTTTTCTGTTTCTTCTTTCACTTCACCTTAAAATGCGTGGTTAGCTGTTTGTGTTGTGGTTTACTTAAATCTGAGTCTTTCAGTACAAATTATCTGATTTCAGCAAACTTTTAAGTCACCATTTACATTTTGCTAGCGAAGCAGTGGGTCTGCCCTCTCCCTCCCCCCCCCCCAACCCCCCAAACAAGAATGGGGCCCAGACCCACACTGAAAGTTGAAATATCTTATATCAGATATGCAGATTCTCCATCTACAGGTACAGATTGTGATATGTGAATGAGAAACTTGACAAATGAAAAGTCACTATAAGAAATAATAACAAAAATAATTACCAGTCCTGAAAAGAACCAAAGCCCTAAATAAAAAAAAAAAGTTTTACAGTTGACAAGCAAGGAAACACCTGATATCAGCAGACATGTTTGTGAGAAGAACAAAGAGAACGACGTGTGCAGTTGAGGCAGGGGTTATATTGGGTGTGTTTTGCTTTTTAAGAAATTTATGAAAACTACCAACTAGCAAAATATATAGACTGACAATATTTCAGGGCACCTTATGGAAAGACCAGCAAACTTGAAAACATTTAACACGTTACAGGAAAAGAGCAAGAGGCTGACTTGAGAAAAACACGAATCTGCCAGATGAGATAATTAGACCAAGATCACAAATACAAGACTGGTAATTGTATTAGTTATTTCTGTGTAAGTTCTGAAGCCCCACTGGGGTGAGACTAGACCTGGTGCCCCATCTCACAAGAAATATAAAATATGACTAATCTGGGATGCACTGAAAGCGGCTGTGTTCGGTCAAAAGGTGCAGACAGGGCAGCCTAGCCATAACATACAGCACAATTTTAATGGTTAACACAAAAGTAGTTCACTGTACGGTCCATATTTTGGATGTATATGTATCTCTTACCTAAGTACTCTTGCAGGCTGACCTTGATTGCCTCTTTTCCTCAAACCAAGTTTTCATTAATTCATTTTCTTCCTCTGCTTTAAAATAACTCCCAGTTTTCATAAGGACACAATAAACTAATGCCAATGATGAGAAAACAAAGGTCTGTGTGACATGTATGTACTCCTTTCTTTGAGCCCGCGTACATAGGGCACATAACTAGTGCAGTTGCTCTGGACTGAACAGGTTATAATTTGATTTCTGCCCCCAACTGAAATAGAAATTCAACACCTCACCATTAATTCAGACCTGCCTCCTGAATGAGAACCCAGCGATCTAGGGCACTTGGCCAGCCCCTCCTCAACACACCATTAATTCAGACCTGCCTCCTGAAGGAGAACCCAGTGATCTAGAGCACTTGGCCAGCCCCTCCTCAACACACCATTAATTCAGACCTGCCTCCTGAATGAGAACCCAGCGATCTAGAGCACTTGACCAGCCCATCCTCAACACACCATTAATTCAGACCTGCCTCCTGAAGGAGAACCCAGCGATCTAGAGCACTTGACCAGCCCATCCTCAACACACCATTAATTCAGACCTGCCTCCTGAAGGAGAACCCAGCGATCTAGAGCACTTGACCAGCCCATCCTCAACACACCATTAATTCAGACCTGCCTCCTGAAGGAGAACCCAGCGATCTAGAGCACTTGACCAGCCCATCCTCAACACACCAATAATTCAGACCTGCCTCCTGAAGGAGAACCCAGCGATCTAGAGCACTTGACCAGCTCATCCTCAACACACCATTAATTCAGACCTGCCTCCTGAAGGAGAACCCAGCGATCTAGAGCACTTGACCAGCCCATCCTCAACACACCATTAATTCAGACCTGCCTCCTGAAGGAGAACCCAGCGAATTAGAGCACTTGACCAGCCCATCCTCAACACACCATTAATTCAGACCTGCCTCCTGAATGAGAACCCAACGATCTAGAGCACTTGACCAGTCCCTCCTCAACTCACCATTAATTCAGACCTGCCTCCTGAATGAGAACCCAGCGACCTAGAGCACTTGACCAGTCCCTCCTCAACTCACCATTAATTCAGACCTGCCTCCTGAAGGAGAACGCAGCGACCTAGAGCACTTGACCAGTCCCTCCTCAACACACCATTAATTCAGACCTGCCTCCTGAAGGAGAACCCAGCGACCTAGAGCACTTGACCAGTCCCTCCTCAACTCACCATTAATTCAGACCTGCCTCCTGAAGGAGAACGCAGCGACCTAGAGCACTTGACCAGTCCCTCCTCAACTCACCATTAATTCAGACCTGCCTCCTGAAGGAGAACCCAGTGATCTAGAGCACTTGACCAGTCCCTCCTCAACTCACCATTAATTCAGACCTGCCTCCTGAATGAGAACCCAGCGACCTAGAGCACTTGACCAGTCCATCCTCAACAATGATAACATGGGGCATTTTTCTGGCAGTTTGCAACCTCTACTGTAATCACCACTACTGTAATCACCACTACTGTAATCACCACTACTGTAATCACCACTACTGTAATCACCACTACTGTAATCACCACTACTGTAATCACCACTACTGTAATCACCACTACTGTAATCACCACTACTGTAATCACCACTACTGTAATCACCTCTACTGTAATCACCACTACTGTAATCACCACTACTGTAATCACCACTACTGTAATCACCTCTACTGTAATCACCTCTACTGTAATCACCTCTACTGTAATCACCTCTACTGTAATCACCACTACTGTAATCACCACTACTGTAATCACCACTACTGTAATCACCACTACTGTAATCACCACTACTGTAATCACCACTACTGTAATCACCACTACTGTAATCACCACTACTGTAATCACCACTACTGTAATCACCACTACTGTAATCACCACTTCGGTAATCACCACTTCGGTAATCACCACTTAGTTGTGATACTGGCACCTTTTTTTAGGCAATTTTGTTTCCACTACCACTATGATTAGCACTTCGCTGTGAGTACCGGCACCTTTATTGCTAGAAAAAAAAGTTCTGGATGAATACAAGTAACAAGAAGCGGGGATGTGAGCTGTGACAGAAACAAAATGGTGACATTTACCTGTTGTCAATGTCAATGCCTGTGATAGAGTATATGTCATCGTACTCATGTTCAGGAAGAAAGGCCAGATCACCAAACGTTTGCCTTTGTAGTTGACATGATTCCTGTGTACATTCACAAGCCAGCAATTACTCAAAATGTAAACAGACCAGCCACAACAATGTAAAACATATTTTTTTGTACAAAGCTCATCAGGTAAAAAATTCTAGAATTATTTGTTGCTGTCACAGAATAAGAAAGTAGAAGTAGGAGGACACACTGGCCAACATACACATTGAAATGGTTTCACTATACAGGATTGAAACTGACTTGTGACAAGAAGCAGTCTTGTTCTTGTTGTTCTTTTTTTAGTCTTCTCAACCTTTTTTATTTCTTATTATTATTATTCTCTGTGTGTTTTTGGACTTAGAAGATAAGAATAAAATTATCCATATGCCTTAAGCTCTGTCTTCTTCAACAGCCAGCTAAAAGTTCCAGTTCCGATGTTGCCATGTAATTTTTGAAAATATTTGTCTTTTCTATGAATTTAGAGAGTCAGGCAGATCACCCTGGTCACTCCTTGTTGTACCATTCTGTCCAGACCATAATGATCTATTTGTGCCTTAGTACTGTTCACTTGCTTCCAAATGGCTTTGACCTAGTTTAGCTTGTTATGCATAAATTCACCACCGATTGGTGCAGAAACAGCCAATCTGTCTGCTTGTGCATACCAAATATAAACATATAAGTGATCTTCAAATGGCAAAGTATTTCGCTTACACAATGGGCTTTCTGTTGAGCAAACATCTCCTCCTTTGACAAGTAACTGAAGTCTCCAATGTTCTCTCTGTGGGAAGCCACTAACAGGCTAGTGACTGTGTCCATGTCACTGAACAGCTCTGCGACATCAGCCAGCTGCAGTTCCTTGACTCTGCTCGTCAGTTTTGAGGTTGGAGATGCCTCATTAAAGAAACCTTTGTCAGAACCAGAAGGCGACAGGGGTGTTCCTGAGTTCATATCTTGTGGGCTAGCTGACGTCAACAGAGCTTCAACAGGTGTTAGTGCTTGAGTGACAGTAGAGCTATTTAGAAAAGAAATATAAAATTTTTGATAAAAATCCAAAAGTGCTTGATACAAGCTTGAAAACATAGGAATAAGACATATTATAATTTGTTGTAACTGCAATTCTAGTGGCAGACTGACTGTCTTGGCATTTCTTATGGCTGGCTTATGTGTGTGCAGCTCAGCTGTTCGCTTTCCAAAGACTGCAGACTTGTTTCAATGTTTCTCCACAAGAGACAGTGACTGGCAGTCTGTGGTTTTTGCTAGTGCTGGAATGAAGCAGCTGTGACCTATTTGTGGTGAAGTTAGAACTGATTAACTGTTTCAGTTAACCTTACAGTGGTATCTGGACTAGCAAATCGCTCCACATGAGAATGGATTAATTCTTCTGCTTTGTGTTTACTGGCTGTAAACTGCGACATAAATGTCTGAATGTTCATCCACTTCTGAACATTAGTCTTGTTCCAGAACAGAGTGTTTTGTGCACATTCATTTTACAGATCTAATTTAATTGTATGCAACTCGATTCCTTGCCTCTCAGGTAGATGCCCTCCGACTTCGAAGAACGTTTCCAGTTAGTCAGCTCCTACAATATGTTTGTTGCGGAGGTGATGGATCTGTTCTTGTTTTAGCCCATAATAGGGCTCAGGAATCCACATGAAGAGACAGAATAGGAAATTGGGTTCTGAGATACAAACATTTTGAGATACGAACCAGAGTCAGGAAGGAATTAAGTTCGTATTTTGAGACACCAATGTATAAGAATGACAGGATCTTAAGAAGGTACTAGGATAAAGTAGAGACTGTCAGGTAAGGAATTTAAGATCATTCTCTCATGCCCTGAGTAAGGCAGATTTAAATATTAGGTATATCGTGCTAGCCACATATTTTTACAGACTAATCACCATACAATGGGTGATTTGGTCAACCTCATGTTGCTGCTTTTACTTCCCACCATATTTAATGGTGTCCATTTTAATTTGCGCCAACAATGGCACCCTGCCTCAGTGGAGATTTTTGAGTGAACAGAAGATTTCGAAAACCGATAGACTGGCTTCTGCTGCTCCTCTGGGCAGAAAGCTTCTTTATGATGGAGTGACCATGGTTACGTTCTGGATTGACCTGGATGGTGCAAAAGATCAGTTTCTATACTTGATCCAACAGATCCAATGAGGAGACACTAGAAGCTTGTGACACTTCTTGCAGTCTATGTCATGTAGGATTGGTGGTATATCTATCCATCACCTTCTGTCTTGAGTATTTTCAACCAATTATAATGCAGATGATCTCCCATGCCATTATGTTAAAGTGTCCAGCGTCCTCTCTCTCAATCTACCTCTGCCTCTTTCTCCTCCAACTTCCCCACCCTCATAAGGTAATCATCTTTCCCCCATTTCATGAGCTGACCAAAGAATGTAGATTGTCCCCTTCTGATATGATCAGTCAGTTCTCTTCATGAGTCAGTCTCTTGTAACAAACTCTTTATCACCCAGGGTGTTTATCTACAAGACCACATCAGCACCGCTACCCGTCATGTTTCAATAATTAGTAAAAAGTAAAGTTCATTTTTCACGCCTTTTGGCGCATCGGGCATATGGGCAGAGCGTCCCATATTTTTACAGACCATCAGCTCTCTGTGGGTAATGTGGTCAGCATTACGCCGGCTGTCTTTACTTTCCCAGGACAGCCCATCCTGGTACCCATTTTAGGCTGGGTCGACCTGCGACGTCCCCATACCACGATAAAAATCCACGCAGCCTGCAGTGGGTTTCGATCGCGGTATGCTGGGTTATTAGTTGGACTCGCAACGCCTTAGCCATGGATGCCGCTGTTTCAATAATTAGCCAACTATAATTCACTTCCATATAGGAACTATAATTCACTTTCATATAGGGTAGAATTTATAATGCTTTTGATGACACTTAAACTGGGAAACAAGATTACTGAACTAATAATTGGGTAGCCATTGCCACATTATTGGCTACTGAACAATGGGCCAGACAAAGTTTTCTGTTACTTGACCAAAATAAGTGGGTATTGTCTTTTTTTTTTTTTTTAAATGGATCAACATGAGTTATTCTGACCATCATCTAGAGTCTTCATAGAACTATTTTCTTTAGCAAACCATTCCTTTTCATTGATTTAATTTTAGTCCATATCAGACAGATCTCATACAGTTTCAGAAATGAAAACATAATTTAATGGAAGATTTTCTTGACTTTCAACATTGATGTAGACCTTCATAGTCTCAATTTGATAAACATTTCTGCCAAAACAAAGGCCATTGAGGCTCCTAGTATGCATTTAACCCAGATATGTCTAAATGCAAATGTGTGTGCTTTTACTATATAACCAGTTACTAAAACTATGAGAGAAATGCCTCACCTGTCAATTATGAGATCAAGTCCTAGGGTGTATTCTTCCATTATCTGAAGAGTTATATCGTCATCATCGTAGATCAAAGCCTCATCATGTACTGGGTATTTCGACTCCGGGGTCTGGGCTAGATCACGATCCACACTGCAATCTTCATCCGCTCTCTGATTCCTGCCACTGTCCATGTTGAATAACACAGCCCCTGGGCTGGGAACTGGACTGGTAGAGTTGTCAGCCCTTGGTGAGGCCAGGGAAGATAGCAGACCAGAAGGTGTCAGAACTGAACCCGACCCAACCTCATCCGACATGATAGATATGGGGCTGGATACTGGACGACCATCCAAACAATATGAAATATCTGGGAAGAGGTCAAATGTTACATCCTTGCCCTTGTCTGAAGATTTGATTAATGAAACGGATGCTGGGTGGGAATGTGTTCCAAGAAGTTTTGTTTCAAAAACTGAAGAGTCTGGTGACTGCACTGAAGCGTCTGCCTCTATTTGCAACTGATTGTTCGCATTCTTACATTTATTGCTAAACATCATAACTTCATTATTTATACATTTTTTAGCAAGTTCTTTAATGTGCTGACTATTTCCATTTGAAAGCAACTGATGGATAACTGATCTACTATTATCCTGAAGTGGATTTAGAACCTGACAAATGTTTTGAGATGTCAGACAAGAGATTTTACTGTCCTCTTGATGTGTTACTTCAGAATCTGAGGAACAGAAAAGACTGAAACTATTACTTCTGTCACTCTGGGACTCAGGCGTATTTGGGTAGTCAATTGTTACTGAAATCATGTGCTCTGTCCTTTTTTGGTCGAGAAAAGATTGTTTCACGTTACTTCCTAATTTTGTATTTGAACAAAACACGAGACATTTTGTTGACGGTGCTTGGCGGCTCTGACAAAAGTTAGTGCTTGTACTGTCACTGCTGTTGTGTCCTAAGTTTTCAAAAATAAACTTGGAACTGGCAGCAGCGTTTGTGTTGTAGGCATCACTGATAGAACAGATGAGATCATTCTCTGAAACAGAGCCTGCAAAACCATCAGTGGTTGTAGAATCCACTTCCATGGAGAAATGTTTTTGCTGATTCTGTGTGGTGATGACTGGGCTCTGATGTTTTAGAGAAGCCAAACTGTTGTGCGGTGAAAAGACGACTGTTTTTTCTTTGTCTCCCTCATCTATAGTTGAACATAATTTAGAAATCTTTAGTCGACATTTCAAAACTATTAGTTCTTATACTTCATATGGAAAAGCTATTAATTTATGTCTGTTATTAGATTTAGAAAAAACACAAATATAGACACTTTTTTTTTTTTGGGAGGGGGTGGGGAGGGAAGGGAAAAAAGAGGGGGGGGGGTTTAACTCAACTGATACAGAAACATGCAGTAATAAAGTGGATCTAGTGCTAGAACTAAGAAATGTCATCAAGATCTGACCACTGAAGAAAACCGGCTCACAGCCAGCTTTATTCGGAACCCAAGTGGAAGGAAACTCAGTCAACCCAACTCGCAGTTAAATACTGTAGACACAAATAGAACATTAGACAATTTATTATATGGCATATTATGTGATGTTGTGGCGATTGCATTAACAACATATAATAAAGCACAACAATTAATTCACTCTTACTCTGATAAAATATAAAAATCGCAGTGGCTAGTGACATTCTACATCTAAATGACAGAGTTCAGAATGAAACCATAAATAAAAACTGTACTTAACTAAATGGAATGGAAAGATAAGATTGTGTGCTCTATATGGCAATAATGTCACAAACAAATAAGTAAATTGTGCATGCTGGAAATTAAACCAAAATAACTGGGGTGTGTTTAGGAAACAGCACATTTCACACTGACCACAACAGCACCGTATCTCCACTGTTAAACTGCTATAATCAATGATGTCTCACTTTACTGCTGTCCTTATTGATTGTTGAGAATGTATTAGTGGACACACAGTTTGGATCAGATTTAGACCCAGTGCAGATCTTATCTGGCTAAGTCATGTATAAAGCTGTGAGGCTCATAAACATCGCACCAGGCCTCCATTATATCACAGGAGCAAATCTTTGCATGTGATGTTGTATTGTATCTTAGGATAGAATGACAGTTTAGTTTCCTATATTTATTAGGATATTCACAGAGAAAAACTGATTACATAATATGATTATTTTCACAGTTTACTATTCTTTTAAAAGTACACTTAAAATACATCAAATCTAATCTATACTCCTATAGTCTGTTACAAATAAAAACAGAATCTATACAATACTGAACAACCAAAGGTAATTGAAGTAACTGACAAACATAAATATTCACTATCGAAATAGCTAAAAAAAAACTATACATCTCAAATAAAACCCAGATTCTTGAACAACCCAGTAGAACTGTGCTAGGTTTCTGTGTTTTTGGGATTTGTTTCTCTTTGTCTCTCATCTTTGAGATTTTAATCCTACAGATTACAATCTCCTTAAAATAAAAATAAAAAAGGGGGGGGGGGGGGTGTTAATAAATTGTTTTAATACAAGCACTAAACTGTAGCTTTTTTTTTTTCAAGACCTAAATTTGGTTCATAATATAACTAAACAAAGAAAGATTCTTACCTGTGTTTGTGGGACTTTCCATGTTCTGTAAACGTTGTATTTCTTGTGTATCTTCTGTCCGTTTGAGGTATGTGTATCGTCCCGTCTTGATGGCTGGTGAATAGAGTCCACAATGCCAGTTTACTGTGTCTCTGAGTTTTTTACGATTTCCTGTTTTAAAACTGCACGTTTTTCCCGCGGTTCTGCGGACCACTAACTGTGCAACAACACACATTGCTGAATTGCAAGCATGGATTCTTTTATTGTATGTAATTCACCCCATCTCGGGGACTCCGAGATTTCGTGGGCAGATCCAGGGAAAGTTCAGTAGTTAAGGCGAGTTAGAGTGTGAAATGAACACCGATGAACCCTAACACTCTACAATATTGATGGTTGTTACCAAGTTCTCATGTCCATTGCTTCTCATAACATGTCCCCAAAATAATCACTGGTTATCTGCGTCTAGTTGTTCTAATAAGTTTACGACTATATCTTTCTCTATGAGGACTTTCGTGTATGTTTCTTTCCTCCCATGATATTCTTTGCATTTTTCAGAGAAACCGCATCTCTGTCGCCAGTAAATGTTTTTTTGCTTGTTTGTTTATTGTTCATAATGCATATAATAGCCACCATCCTGGCCTCTCTATATTTTCAAACCGTATTTTTTCTCTCTCTATCTCTCTTTCTCTCTCTTTCTCTCTCTCTCTCTTTCTCTCTCTCTCTCTTTCTCTCTCTCTCTCTATCTATCTATCTATCTATCTATCTATCTATCTATCTATCTATCTATCTATCTATCTATCTATCTATCTATCTATCTATCTATCTATCTATCTATCTATCTATCTATCTATCTATCTATCTATCTATCTATCTATCTATCTATCTATCTATCTATCTATCTATCTATCTATCTATCTATCTATCTATCTATCTATCTATCTATCTATCTATCTATCTATCTATCTATCTATCTATCTATCTATCTATCTATCTATCTATCTATCTATCTATCTATCTATCTATCTATCTATCTATCTATATCTATCTATCTATCTATCTATCTATCTATCTATCTATCTATCTATCTATCTATCTATCTATCTATCTATCTATCTATCTATCTATCTATCTATCTATCTATCTATCTATCTATCTATCTATCTATCTATCTATCTATCTATCTATCTATCTATCTATCTATCTATCTATCTATCTATCTATCGCCCACCTCTCTCTCTCTCTCTCTCTCTCTCTCTCTCTCTCTCTCTCTCTCTACTCCTTCCTCTTTATCACTGTGAGGGTGTGTGTTTGTACATGTAGTCATTGAAGCAGCTTGTGCTTCTTTACTTACCGGATGTGAATATTGATAAAGAGCACAAACTACTTCCATAATCAATGTTCTCATAGCAATGATCGCCATATATCACGACTCACTTGTGAGCCGCAAAATTGGATTCTATTTACAATCAAACATCATTCAGTCTTAGCGTCTATATATTAAAGAGTTCGGTACACGGACAATAAGACAAGGCAGGCTACGACAAACTTGGATCCAAATCTAGCAAGATTCATCTTCCTAACTTTTACCGGCTATTAACTCTGGCAGAAAGTCTTACATCTTCTTCGTCTGCTTTTGGAATTTGGTCTTGTTCCAGGTTTTGAGTACGTGTTCATCCGACTGACATATGTGGCTTATCGTTGTACAAACTGGTGGTTAAGCAGATGCACTCCGATATTAAGGAAACGTCGATTCTTTCTAGGCCTTTGGTAGGTATTTTCAAATTTATCGAGCGCTGCTCATCTTCTTCTTCTTCTTCTTCTTCTGTCTTTCTATCCCCCACTGGAGCACAGGCCCTCAACCAACTCACGCCAAGTCGGTCTATTCTTCGCCATTGCACGGAGCTCTCCCCGTGTCTTCCCTATCTTTCTAACTTCATTCTCCAGCTCTCTTCTCCGTGTGTTTTTGGCCTTTCTTTATTTCTATGCTCCTGTGGGTTCCAATGCAAAGACATGTTTTCTCCTGTTTTCTCAGTGTGTGTCCTATCCAACGCCAGCGTCTTTTCCTCACCTCTTGGTCTACTGTGGCATGTTAATTTCTCTTTCAAAGCTCTACATTAGTTATTCTATCATACCATTTAATTCCTTCTATTCTGCTCTACATTAATTATTCTATCATACCATTTAATTCCCTCTATTCTGCTCTTCACTAGTTATCTATCATACCATTTATTTCCCTCTATTCTGCTCTACACTAGTTATTTTATCATACCATTTAATTCCCTCTATTCTGCTCTACATTAGTTATTCTGTCATACCATTAAATTCCCTCTGTTCTATAATTTATCTGTACTTTTCTTTGTTCTTCATGTTTCCGCCCCATACAAAAGTACTGATTTGGCATTAGAATTAAAACTTTTTAGTTTAGAATTTCTTCTAATTTATTTTGACCTCCACAAATTCCATAGTGCTCTGAAATCTCCTCTTGCCTTTTGTATTCTTATTTTAATATCTCTATCAGTCCCTCTATCTTTATCTACATTACTGCCTAAATAGGTGTACGACTCCATGTCTTAGAGTGGGGTGCCATTAAGAGAGACCACATTACTATTTGCCTGATTTATTCTCATCATCTTTGTCTTTCCTTTATGTATTTTCAGACTAAGCTGCTGTGATCTTGCATCAAGTATATTTAATTTATCTTGCATCTGATTACGTGAATGGGACAGAAGAGAAATATCTTCTGCGAAGTCCAGATCATCAAGCTGTTTTGTAGGGGTTCACTGAATTCCATTCTTGGTGTTAGCAGTTACTGTTTTCATAGTCCAGTCTATAGCCAGTAAACATAAGAGAGACGACAAAAGACATCCCTGTCGCACACCTGTTTTTATTTCAAATGTATCTAGTTAGCTTTCCCTCATGAAGAACTCGACAATTCATGTCTTTATATGTTGCCCTTACTAAGTTAATAATTTGCTGTGGGATTCCAAAGTGCCCTATCAATTTCCAGAGAGATTCCCTATCAATGCTTTCAAATGCGTTTTCATATTCTATAAATCCAATGTAAAGTGGTGCGTTCAGTTGAAAGCTTTGCTCTATTATAATACGTAATGTGGCTATCTGGTCAGTACAGAATCTGTTTGACCGAAAACCTGCCTGTTCATCTCTTAGCTTTTTATCAATAGCATCTTTTAATCTTTCCAAAATAATTCTACTTAATATTTTTCCAGGAACTGACAGCAACATGATTCCTCTATAGTTTTCAAACTCCTGTAGATCAACTTTTTGGGAGGCAGTTTCACAAGATATCCGTCTCTCCAGCTGCTTATCTAATCACAAGAAATTGAAAGACCCTAGCAGTCTTCTACTTTTTCAGCGTCCGCTCTTAATGTGGTTTACAGCTAAGCTGCATATGTGTGCTTTTCGACCTAATGCTTCCAATTTGAATAAATTACCTATTAGTCAGCTTTCAAGATGTGTGCAAATAATAACTCAGTAACCCAAAGACACGCCCGTGATTTTGGTCTGTAGATAGAATGTATTATGAGAAGACGCAAGCAGAGATCAACAAACAGGCGCCGAGGAGGGTAACAGATAGACTAAGGACACCAGGATGTCCATGAAAAACCCTTAAACGAACGTTGATGAGAGAGGCCAAAGGTGCTAGATTTAATCCATGATATGGAAAAGATGGCACAGGCTGGAAAGAACAGAAGGAGATTAACAACCCGATGGAAAAAGACGATGCTGATCCATGTATAACTCAGTGATCATAAAGTATTCATATGTATAACTCAGTGATCATAACGTATTCAGTCACCAAGAGTGATCAATAAACAGTTACAGGCGATATGTGGCGTCAGACGAGTGCCTACCTTCCCTGGCCATGCCCGCGTTGAGACATCTCTGATACCTGCAGTACTGGCACGACTTTCTCTTGCCTGGTTTGTACTCGCAGTAACCTGAAGTACGACCGGCCCGGCATTTGTAATCCTTGTAACGCCGTAAGCTTCGGTGGAAAAATCCCTGGGGAAAAGCACATAACACGGTTTTTGTTTATTTGTTTGGTGTTGTTGTTGTCATCGTTGTCTTGTTGTTGTTGTTGTTGTTGTTGTCGTCGTCGTCGTCTTGATGTGTAAAGAAGACTGTAGAAAGTTAAAAGTTCAAGTTAAAAGTTCATGTTCTTGTTGGTATGGGTTGTTTGTTTTATTCTTAAAGATGACGAAGTTTGAACTCTTTAGTAAAATGTGTATGAACTTAATACTGAGCCTATTACCTGGGATCTGAGAAGAAACTTGAACATTAACGCCATTCGACAAGGCACACGCTGGTGATATTTGACTATATTTTTTCGTATCTGATCTCGTGTTTTTTGGCCCAACTGAACGCTTTGAATCCAGGTCATAGAATTACTCCGTAGCAGTTTGTATCTAGGGCATACAGGTGGTTACAAACAAGACTAAGATAAAGACATTCAATCCGTTCACTTCAAACGACATGTAACTATTACATATTCACACTTCAGCACTTTACACCCGCTACAATATTACAAACTACTTAACAAATAAACTGTATTTTCCCTCTAGGTGAAAATTGGGCACGCAGGTCTGTCTGACATTCCTTCTGCCCGTCGCGTTAATTAGCAGGTGGCCCCCTGACTGTTCCGTTCATGTGATAGTAGAAATCGCACGGAATATCCTTCGCTGTCCCATGCGAAAACTAGTGAAACATTGTATCCCAGGAAATGTGAAGCTTGCACACCAAAGTAAAAGTGTATAGATCAGCTGTCAGATATGCCAACACCAATAGTCCCACATCCGACCTGCAGCGCACCGTTGGTGTAGCCGCTGGACCCTCACTCTCTGAAAGTTACAAGTTCAAACCCGGACGACGCCAGACTGTTTTTTTTTTTTTTTCTAATGACCTTCGCTCCCAGGGTACCCAGCCTTAAATGTATTCCAGATGAAAGTCCTGGGAAGTAAATGTTGGCCGGCGTAATGCTGACCACATCACTCACAAAGCGCCAGTTGGTCTATAAAATTTAGGTCTAGCCCAAAAATGCCCAATACGAATTTAGACAAAAAAGGTCCTTTGCAAATGACTGACAAGAGGACAGTCCTTGTGGGTACGTTATCACGACAAGGACCACCCCCACCCCCCCCACCCCCGTTTTTTTCTTTCTTTCTATTAACAGTTGTAAAATGGCTTTTTAATTACCACAGAAGAAAACTAGAAGCATCAGTTACAAGGCATTGACACATATGATAGGATCATTCTGCTTGACTCATGTTGCTGGTGACCCAAGTGGTAACTACACCAGAAATTATGGGTATTACACTACCCGGCTTTCTATTTCAGTTACAAACTTTGGTATCTATTTCTCCAGATCAGGCTGACTTTTGATGTGTTGGTATAGGGGGAAAAAAGGGGGAGGGGTGACTCTACTATTTTTTTCTTTTGGAGACAAAGACCTATGTGGCATTATCAGTAGGCCACTATTCGACTTAGCGCACACACTAGCAAACGTGTCACTTCACACATTAGTAAATTATCATCATCATAATGTAGTGGGTACTTTGCAGACGGTCACTCTCATCAGGGTCTGTCTGAAAGAAACTCGGTCTTTCGCCAGCTCTTCCTCCTCATTCGCTTTCCTAACCAAGTTGTTACTTATATCCTGATATCATCTTGGTGCTTACATAAGTTGGCACGTAAAGACCACTTGAATTTTAGAAATTAATAGAGTTATGGCGTAGACCCACAGAGAGAGAGAGAGAGAGAGAGAGAGAGAGAGAGAGAGAGAGAGATGGATAGAGAGAGATGGATAGAGAGAGAGCGAGCGAGAGAGAGAGAGACAGACAGACAGACTGATAGAGAGAGAGAGAGAGAGAGAGAGAGAGAGAGAGAGAGAGAGAGAGAGAGAGAGAGGGTGTTTGTGAAATACTAGCATTAAAGACCATCTTAGATAAATTACTGGCAGTATATTACTATGCACCCGTCCCCCTCCCCCTTTTTTCCCTAATAGGGGAAGAAAGAAGGGGTGGGCAGTCCCCGTGGCGAAGTGAGCAAGCCGTTTACCTCGTGCCTGATGATCATGTTTTCGTTTCGCGGACGCGTTTTCAGTTCGAGAGTGCAATTTTTAACGGAGATCCCTTGAGATCGTCGCTGGGCATACAGACTTCGTCCTTTGCGTGAAGCCCTTTGGAAGGCAGCTGCATGTTCTGCATAGCCGAATGGTATAACCCGGGTCTCAGAATTATATTTTTCATCTCTACGTTAACTTGTACTCTGGTTGCCCTGACGCCATCAATGTTACCTGAAGTGTATACGGTTATGGAAACACAGATGTGGCCAGATAGTAGACAATATAAGATTCATGAGTTGTCCATGAGTGTGTGAATAATAGACACCAGCAAAGCAAAGACATCCCCTGATATCTGCTTACCTTGACCGGGTTAATGTCACCATAAGTGACCTTCAGATAATTGTCAACCACTGAGACAAAGACAATGTTATAATTAGATTTGATGGTCTTTTTGTGTAAATATTTGAGTACTTTTCTCCCCGTTTGGGCTCCGGGGCCTCATTGTGGAGAAAAACATGAATAGACCCACTGCCTCCCCAAGAAGCATGTCGTAGGAGTCGACAAATTGTGGCTTTCTACGAAGTCAGAGTGCATCTGCCTGAGAGGCAAGCAGCTAACAGTCTGCACACAAATGAGTCAGATCAGTAGAAAAGATATTCTCACAAGGCTCAGGTTCTCGAATAAGACTGAAGTCCGCAGGTGGACGAACAACCAGAAATTTCCAAGGGGGTTTACAGCCGGTGAGCTCGAAGAAAAAGACTACATGTATTTGGATTTAAAAAAAAAAAAAACAGCACACAACATGCTTAGACATGCAGAGCTCAAGAACTTTTAGCGAACGGGTGGGGGAACCTGTGAAGAAATACTGCATCGCTTGCTTTTTACTATTTTTTGACTCTGAGAGAAGTTCATCATCATCATCATGTAGCAGGTCCTTTGCAGAACGTCGCTCTCATCACAGTCTGCCTGAAAGAAACTCGATCTCTCGACAGTTCTCCTGCCTCATGCACTTTCACATTCAAGGAGTCACCTATATCCTGTACCCATCTTCGTGTCGGTCGGCCCCTGCCCCTCCTTCCTGGTACCATGCCTTCTGCTATAATTTTTGAGAGAAATTAGCCTAACTAAATTTACAGACGAGCTAAAGACATGGATCTTTACTCTGCCATGCTTTCTTGGTGACTCAGTGAGAGTTTTAAACAAGGTCGAGATGGACCACGCTTGAACGCAGTTACTTCTTCTTGTTCGCATTCTCCGGCTGTTCGTCCACATCTCTACTTATGGTCTTGTTATAGAACTTGAGTTTTGCGTGCACATACATTATACAGATCCGGCTTGTGTGTATGAAAACTGTTGGTTCCTTGCCTCTTTTGCAGATGCACTCCTATTTCGGATGACACACCCCGAACTATTCTCCTCCTGAGATATGCTTGTTGGGGGACTCTACGTCTAATTTGTCTTTTCCAAAATGGGTCCAGGAAGTTGCGTTGGATGATAAATACTAGATTATGAGGATATGGATAGAATAACAAATAATGTAATTTGAATGTGTGTTCCAATGCGCGACTGCCAAACGCGAAAAAAAAAAAAAAATCTGTTAACGTTTCTCGATGCTGTTCGTCTGCAAAGCGTTCGAACAGTACATACATAACATAACCCTTGACCCGTTAGGTTCCTGGAGGTGTATCAATGGAAGCACTAGTACATAAAACTCGTCATCTTTCTCTGTCTTCCGACTGATGAATAGTGTATGATAACTTAGTCCTGTCCATTTCTTGATATTGCCATTCTAGGTTCTTCATTTCCTTCCTCTTCTTTGACTACCCACCAGTGTTGCTTCAAGCACACACAGTCTTTGCAGTCGAAATCATGTCTCACCGAGTGCCCAAATCAAACTAGTCTGCGACGTGATGGATGATGCGGTCTGTATCATGCCGATCGCCTTTACTTCCTATGACTGTACATGGTACAGAGACTTCTGTATATTTTTTATATGATATATTTATCAGTTTTATGTTCTAAATAACTAATTCGTAAAATGCGTCTGTAGCATTTACATTAGAAAGCTTGGGTCATCATTTCCATTTCAACAGTGAGAGTCCGACTCTCACACCTGTATTATAAGACAGACAATACTAGTGGTACATGAGCAGTAGACGGGGCTGGTACACCAAATGACCTAAGAGATTTAATAAGGTGACCATGAATGAGCAACCCTGATCAGGTGTGGGGTTTTCCGCCCCATGGTTGGGGGGGGGGGGGGGCCTAGTGGGGAAATGTTCAGAAATGCGACTGACTGAGGATTTGCTGAAATCGGGTGCACTTGACTACACAAGCGCAGATATTGCAGCCTAGCTGTAAGCCACAACACATCGTGCCAAAGCTCTTTTAAGGGTGAACGCAGAAAAATTATTCAACGGTTGAACATCAGCATCATGTACCGTGCCGATAAGCTTAGGCTGTTATGATTCATCAACTCATCTATCACCAGATTTGATTTGATTCAAGAATTGACATCACAACACAAGGGGCATTCCCATAAGCGCCCCGTCTTCATCTTCCGCAGCCATTGCAGAGTTCCAATACCAGCGGTGCTAGTAGCAGTCTGATTATATGTCCGCCCTGCCTTTCCTCTGAGCGTCGAGTATCGACCAGACCCCCTCGTCACTCCTCGCTGCATCACTCTCACCAGAATGTGTTAATCAATTTGCTGTTGCGACTTGTACATGTGCTTCCATAAGGTTTAACCACGTATGCCTTATCATGCATAAGTATTTCAAAAAGTTTTGCAGAGCCAGCCAGTCTGTCCTCCTGTTCATTTCCCAACACATCGACATGACCAGGAGAAAAAGATTCAAACTATGCTCTTCACCCTTGACCTCTGAAGCGAAGCATGCCACTCTGCACGAAGCATGGTTGTGCTCATCTTCCTTAGCATGCTTTCCTGGTCAGTTACAATCATGACGATTGCGTGTGTGTCGTGTTCTCCAGCCAGTGGAGTGACAGCCTAAATCTCAATTCTTAGGCTGGATGTTGCGATATCATATGCTAGGCTTTCCTGCACCAAACGTCGACCATTGGATTTTGCTAAGAACCCCAGACACTTCTATGCCTCTTGACACTGAACATCTGTATATTTAAGCACTTTCTCTGAAAGGGCATTATTCTGAATTATTTGCTGAATGTCCGCCTCTGTGGCGCCTGCTGACCACTCTCCTGCACTCCCAGCTCAATGTGATTATGACTCTAGACAAGTCTAATTGTTTTGATGTCACTCTGACCAACTCATCTCTTTGCCTAATGTTCCTCAGGTTGCAAACATGTCTGATCGTATCCTCACCCTGAGCCAGAAATGACCCTTATCAGCCGTAGATACTTCACTGCATCCAGTGCTTAGTTCAAAGGGTGAGCTGTGTCTGCAGCTAGTTTGAGGTATGACTTCGCCTGCAGTATCTCGAGCCCATCCGCAGTCGGCAAACCAAGTATGAATCGCATAAATAGCACAGGGGTGACACTGGTACAACCCAGAATGACCCATCCACTGTGTTTTTTATGCGCTTAGGTTTAACCCGCTGACTCTTTGTGACAAGGATCAGTCCTAGTGCAGAATCACGGACCAGGTCAACGTTTTTGTCTCGCCTTGTCCATATTGTTAAGCCATCCAAGAATGTACCTCTTTGCCTTTGCTTTTCTCTTTTGTTTCCAGCAATCTTGCCAAGTTGTCCCCACAGTCTGGAGTCCATTCCTTCTCCTGAAATGCTGACAAATACTAAATGTTTTGTGTATAATTTCGCTAGCCAGTATATATACGGCTGTCATCCGTCTTGAGCAGGACTGCCTCGTTTGTATTTCTATCCCTCCACGATATTCTTTTCATTCGTCCTCAAAAACCAGCTCTGCCCTGCGAGCCAATGTTTTTCTGCTATAGTCAGTTCCAAAAGTTCTGTCCAACTTTAAAAATCAGTAACTTAGTAACTGTTGGCTCCATGTTGTGACAAGTTTGACATACAACCTACTAAAAATCATGTCCTTTGTTTTTAAAATAATGATTTAAACAAGCGTTTAAGTTTGATTTTGCGATACATGAAAAACGGATACCGATTCACAGCAAACAATCATCGTGCCTTCAATTAATTAAACAACGGGAACTGTTGAAAACATCAAACTGCACACTCTTGACTCTCTCGTGTGGTCACCTCCAGCTTGAACCTCCCTTGTGTTATATATAGGAACTAGGCTAGGCTGCGAGATAAGCTGTCAACATAACAAACTCTGAACACCGCATGTCCAGTAATTTCGAAATAATCTCCACCGGTGTGTCACTTACTGAATATTATATTTTTAGGGGTTCACACAATATTAGTCAAATAAAGATCAAAGAAATTCGCATCTTTAAGAAAACAACAGCACCTGGGCACTGTGCCATTGTAAATTATAAAATTGTAAGGACATACGAAATCAAAGGCCACAAGCAAGAATGTGTGTTGATCCAGATAGTAGATTACGAGATTTATGCTAAAGTGTGAAGGCACGACTTTTAAACATACTATAAATGCTTTTCGTGTAGTCACGATTCTAGCTGGAATATCTACAATAAACCCAGTCTTTACTTACCTTACAAGCTTCACAAGTATTGACACCGTAGTGGAACCCAGCCGCCTTGTCCCCACACACACGACACGGCGGTAGGAATAATCTGTTTCCAGAATCCTGTGCGTGCACTTTGGTGCCGGCCATCTCAGTCCTATACATGGTGTGAACCCAAACAGCAAATGAGACAACCAGGATACACTGTTTATTCAAATCTTCACTTTGAAAAAAAATGTTTGATTAATTCTTTCAGGTCAACTCTCGTGCAGTGTGCGATCATCTATTAGTCAGTCTAGATCAACCAACGAGCGGCGTGTAATTATATATTTTACAGTTGGTTTGAGCATGCTAAAGAAATTTGGCTATAAACGTCGTCTCTTTAAAATTAATGCACTCATGCTGTTTTCATTTTTTTTCCTTCTAAAGTATTTAAAACTTAATATTCTGGTACTGAAAGATTTAAAGGTGCTTTTAGTGTTGTTGTCCTTTAATTTAAATTTTGTTGTTGCTCGTGTTGTTGCTGATTCAAGATTATATATATATATTCTATCTGTAAAACACGTTATGTGAATATAGTAATGTCTATATTATGAATAATAAGTAAAATACACAAAAGCATGGGGGATTTAAACCCACGCACACATGACTCGCCTGCGATATGAACGCAGCGTCTTAGACCACTTGGCCATCAAGGTTCTTTATAGTGTATTATTTTTACGATAACTGTGGCGATTTTAACAATGACAAGAACATTGTGAACGATTTGCATCATCTCGTTATCGTTGCACAAAATTTATTGCTTTCTTAAACCAAAACTAGTACATTCGATTGACATCGAATATTGCATAACTAAGGCAGCCGCCATGGTCCTAAGGTCGTGGATTCAGGTCATGACAGAGCAAGATTATTTAAAAAAATGACCAAGGCTCCTAGTTCGACCCGGCCTTGAGAGGGTACCATGTAAAGTCATAGGAAGTAAAGGCGATCGGCATGATACAGACCGCATCATCCATCACGCTCCATCAGGCTAGAGATAAGGTAGGTGAAGAGAAGTAGCTGAAGACAGTATCTCTATGGAAGCCGCCTTGCTTATTGTACCCCGCCAGGACATCACACAAGCGACAAACATGCGGTGACACAGCGCCACCCTGCGGATGAGGATCACCCGTGGAGAGGTCCCTGAAACCCCTTTCAGCAGCTATATTCAGGGCCGCTGGCAGAAGTCAGAGTGGGGTTTCGAATAACGAAAAAAAAATTGTATCCTACTAGAAGATGACTATTTACATTACTATTATGGAAGTGTTTGGTTAACAAGATTGATCATAATTGGATTGGATTTTTTACCCCACCAGGACATCACACAAGCAATAAACACCCGATGACACAAAGTGCCACCATGCGGATGAGGATCACCGTGGAGAGGTCCCAGAAACCGCGTTCAGACATTTGGCCATAACGATGACCTGCCTATATTGCGGCCCCTGGCAAAAGCCAGAGTGGGGCTTCAAACAACAAAAAATAACGTCCTAAGAAGGACGAAAAGTATAAGCAACATTGATCATAATTCGGTCGGTCGCACAGTGATCATATGCGCGACACAGTTGATTATCATCGTCATGATGATTATTTGCTGAATAGACAATAATTTACATGGTTTAAACAAATACTTTAAAATAAAACTGTAAAGGGCCCTTGCCAATTTTCTAAAGAGGGCGTCGCCCAGCTTCCCAAGCATCCTAAAGATTGTTGGCTGCACACTTCATTGAGTCGGATACCGAGCGTCAAACCGTTACACTACTCTGGCTTCGTCACAGTCACATGGGGTTTCCCAACCGGAATAAGGGAGATAATCAATGAATGACAAATGACGAGTCACTACTGACAGCAAATGTTACAGATGAACAGAAACAAATGTTACAGGCTGGTTGCAGAGGGGACCTATCCCAAGTACTCGTACATTTATGACATGGGTCAAAAGATGCACTGCAAAATGGCATTATAAAACTGACAGCATGTTCCACGGGAAATGGGAGGCGGGCACGGTTTGTCATAAACTGACATCTGCTAATAGCTCTTGTCAACTGGAACGATCAGCTTAGACTAGGCACTGCATGCTAGACAGACAGACTAGGCACTCCATGCTAGACAGACAGACTAGGCACTGCATGCTAGACAGACAGACTAGGCACTGCATGCTAGACAGACAGACTAGGCACTGCATGCTAGACAGACAGACTAGGCACTGCATGCTAGAATGATGCTTTTGTGATAAATTTTAATATACATTTTATTAGATACTATATTTAATCGCTGACACAGCCCAGGATGGTGAAATAAAATATTCTCCAGTTTTCTACTTCATCTCTGTCTTCACCGCTGTCGTACGTGCAGTAGAAACTTCACGAAAGAGCGAGCATACCAGGGACCCTCCTTCTAAACTTCAGATGCGTACCTTCGCCTTTTTTTTTTTTTTTAATGTTTCGACAACTTTACCTTCTAGGAGGGTAGTTCACGAACACTTTTGTTTCCAGTCCTCTACTTGATGTCTCGGTCGCTGAGGAATATTTAGGCATTGTCCTCAAGTACACGCGAGGCTCTTACCGCCCTCTCTACCGAGCCAAACTTTCAAACACAAGCTACTGCCTAGCACCCCCACCCCTCAAAGTTGGGGGGGGGGGTGATACCGGTTCCTATCACGCCATGTAGGTCCTCAGGACACACTCATCAGACGGCCTAACCATCTCATCTGTTGCTACTTAGTCGACCGTATGACTGAAGCTACAACTTACAGACTGTAAGGACCGGGCACCTAAGTAATGTTTTCCAAAAAAACTAGATGCGGATTCGAACACACAACAATTGGGCAAACATCAAACGTGCTAACCGCAGTGCTACAATAGCTATCCCTCTCTATTTAAAGAAATCTCTGTATGACACATCTGCCGAACCCACCTCTACATGTTGTATAACACTGTTAACAACAGCTAGACTGGCAATCAAACACACACAATAGTTGTGTGTGTAGATAGCAGAGAAACCGCAACCTGGCTTAGCACCACTGAGGGACCGCCCCCCCCCCCCCCAATCCACCGCCACCTGCTGTAAAAGTGGGCATTTTTTTAGGCATATTTCCGTCTGAAAAGTTTTTAAGGGGTTTTTATGATGGCGGCGTTGGTGTCTGGATGTATGTACTACCATAGTTCTACTTTTGTCGGATCCTAGTCGTATTTACCATCAGTGAAGTATGAACTCAGAGTTCTCTACTTAGGGTGCTTTGACATACTAGTTCGTTTCGAGCTTTTCCTTCAGGTTTTTACGGAGATACCTGTATACATTGACTGGAGCTTGCAAGAGGATGCATGTACATTATCGGCAACTACACTTGCACACTTTCTCAAAAGGTTTTGTGATGAGAAGAGAAGAATTAACTTACACTGTGACGAACGGAAAGATCAGCGACAGACGAGGCAGAAGGAAACGTGAGAAAAATGTTGATGATTGATTTAAGAATGTGGCGCAGATCGTTCATCATTAGAATTAGCCCGGAACACCAGTACACACAATCTATAGAGTCACGAACAGACCATGCTAAAACGTGTAGACCCTCTTTAGAAAGTCTGCCACAACCCCAGACATTTCAACAGAACGAATGATGATCTTATAATTTATTAATACAGTGATACCTCGGTGTACGTTTGCTTTGGTATACGTTCAACTTGGTAAACGTCCTGCTTAGACACGCAAAACTTTCGCTCGGGATACGATCTTTGTCTGGAATCCGCCCTGTGTTCTAGAACTTGTGTGAGCCACGACTATCCCTGTTCACCTATCTCTTTAATCAAGGATAGATGTCATTGATGTTTTAAGAAGTATCGCCCCAACAAGACCCGAACAAGCCATAAAAGCTTGAAGACCATGTCATATTTCCAAAAATCACAAGGAGAAGGCTGAAGCAAAATTCTTTGCACACATTTTTTTTTTTTTTTGGCTCTTCCTAATATTTCATTACAGATGACTTCACGGGCCAGTCCAATAATGACCATGGAGGTAAAAGTGGGCTTCCCCGTTGTGGGTCTTCCAAGACGTTGCCAAGGTTTTTGGAGCGTTTCTTCTTCCGGCGGCATCTCTCTCAGCGACTTGTGTTTGTGACGCCACTACAGCGACCTGTGTTCAGTCTTCATCACTGAAGAGTATCTGACAAGGAGAGCAGCGTTGCTTTTTTGCAACATCATGGTATTCTGCTTAGCACCAGACGTTGTAGCAATAATCATACGATGGTGTTACTACAACAGTAGTCTGTCGTCTCTGATGCGCTGCTGCTACAACGGCAACAGCAGGTGCCGCGTTCCGACCTCTCTCCAGATCTACTGACGTGTAAAACTGTTTTGTTTGTCAAGTTGTGCGTGAAACTAGCAGTATACATATAGAATTGCAGGCATTATCTAGGGCCACCCCCATCATCATCATCAGTTGCCTTGCCGACTGACGTAGGCGATCATGCCTCTCCATAATCTGCGATCTCCTGCAGCATGTATCAGTTCGTGTGCCGACACACCTCCATGCCATGCAACAAGACTGTCAAGCATCTTTTCTCGTTGTCTTCCTCTATCTCTCCTTCCACATATCTTTCCAGTGGTCACAACATGTTCTATTTTCCCTCTTCTCATAACATGGCCGAAAAATGATGACTGTCTCCTTCTGATGTCTGTGATAAGTTGTCTTCAGGCTCCCGCCTCTTTCAAAACCTCTTGGTTGCTCTTTTTGGCTGTCCAAGGTATTCTAAGCATTCTTCTGTAAAACCACATCTCCGAGGCCTCCATAAATTGTTTGGCCTGCCTACCGATTGTCCAGGATTCACAGCCATATGTTAAAACTGGATGTATGTAGCAAGCAAGAATTCTTTCTAACTCTCAATGACAAGGATATATTGCACAAGATGTTTTTCATTTTATAAAATGCAGTTTTTGCCTGTCCTATTCTATTTCTTATCACAGTTATGCATCTTCCATCTGATGTTATCCATGTGCCCAGATACTTAAATTTCTGTACTTGTCCTAAAATAACACCATCAACTTTTATTACACATTTAGGAATAATTAGTTTCTTTGATACCACCATTACTTCTGTAACAATGGCCTTAGGATGTGTATGGCATTGTTTGTACCTTTTCCTTCTACAAATCCACATTGTTCATCGCTGATTTCTGGTTTAATTTTGTTTCTTATTCTTCTCATAATTATTCTCAGTAAAATCTTAGTCATGTGACTCATAAGACTTATTGTGCGATGGTCTTCACATTTTATAGTGCCTGCTTTCTTAGGCAGAGCTATAGATGTGGATTTTAAAAGGTCATTTGGAATATACCCACTATTATAAATATCATTTAAAAGTTTAGTTATTATTTCAATTCCAAAATCTCCCAGTGCTTCGATTTCTTCCAGTGAGATGTTGTCTGGCCCGGGTGTTTTCCTTTCTTTATATGATGTATTGCATCCTCAACTTCTGCAGTCATTATTGGTGGACCATCATTGTTGGTCTGCAGTTCTACATCTGGTCTATTATCATCATACAATTCCCCTATATACTCTGTCCATCTGTTAATTATATTACTATGTCCCATTAATAAGTCACCATCTTTTGATTTCAAACATTCAGTGCTGTTACGTGTCATCTTTCCTGTTAACATATTTATCTTTTGGTACATGGAATGTGAGTCTTTCCTGTTGTTTTCACCAATTTCTGTACACATATGATTCAGCCAGGCTTCTTTAGCCACTTTGCATTTGTTCACTATTTCTTTTTGTATTCTAGAGTATTCTTCTCTATCATTCTTTTTCTTCCTTCTTTCATCCATCAACTGCAGAATTTCGGTTGACATCCATTTCTTTTTTACAACTCTATGGGTTGGTGGGATTGTCTCTTTAGATGTCTGCTAAATTGACTCACGCAACATATCCCACTGTTCATCAATAGTCTTTATAATTTCCATAGCATTATACCGGTTTTGTAAGAGTACCCAAATTGCCAATTTATCCTGTCCGATTGCACATAGAGTTTCACAAAAAAAAATTGCAAATCAGCAACCTCCTACCTAGAAACAAAAACAACCGTTGTTGAATGCTGCCGGTGACATCGAGTGTTCTATATTGTACGACTGGAGTACTTTTAACAACCCCAAACATCTACACAACTGGCTCTAACAACAAACTACCTATGTCCCACCACTGAATACAGCCTAGGTCCTGCTCCCCAGAAAAGAAAAAAAAAAAAAGAAAAACACAACAACCTCAATCTCCCGATTGCACATGGAGTCCACAACACACAGACAAATGCTCTCCCAAAACAAAACAAAAACAGTACAAGAAGCACACAGAACTAGAAACTGTGAAGCGCAAAACTGAACAGCAAATGAAAATGCCAATTTAATATACTATACGACACCCCCTGAAATATTAGACTGTTCTGTGACTTATGGATTTCGCGTATTTGTGGTAAAATATTAAAAAAGTATCGATTTTTAATAGACGTTAAAACTGATGAGCTTCAATCCAGTCAAAGATCTAAAAAGATACAGGGACAAAAAAGAGGTGAGAAAAATACTATACAAGAAATTCAGATTCCTCAAGTTTTATTTCAAGGGGAGCTCTCTTTCCAGACAACTTCTTCTCCTCCTCCTCCTCCTCCTCCTCCCTTCTCAGTACCATGCTTCTTTCTAGGCACTCGACTCTTCTCACAATGTAAAGTAGGGCTATATTTTCACATATTTCATCTAATTTATTTTAAATGTGTGTATTTTAGTCTTAGGGAGTATATCAGGTATTTTATACAACCTCATCGATGTGTGATATGCCATTAACCATAGAGTTGTTTTCCCCGTGGCAGTGGAATTACCATCCTCGCTCTGTTTATTATGGGAGTTATTATTGTGGTGTTAGCGGCTAGACGACCGCCTGCAGATCAGACAGTCGTGAGTTCGCCTCCTGACGAATCCAGACTTATATCAAAAATGACTTTGATTCCCAGGTCGACCTAGTCTTGAGTGGGTACTAGGTGCAGTCCTGTGAAGTAAAGGCGGTCTGCGTGATACTGACCACATCACCCACCAAATGCCGATTGATATATACAAATTGAGGTCTAGCCCAGTACGCCTAAAGGCATGGAAAAAGAGTCCTTTGTTTATTTTAGGAACATTTTATTTAAATAGGTCCAAGCATCAAGAGGATTAAATTAGTATACGCAGGCTGCTGTTGTATACAAATAGCCGAAAAGACTGTAGTATTATCCTCAAGGTTTATACTAGGCATCCAGGGTTCTCGCCCTTGGTTGACTGGGAAAGCGGGTGTGAACAAGTGAACTGATAAGGTAAGTTGCGTATCCTTTACAGGACGTTGCAGAACCAACCCTAATAGCCCCTGGCTGTTGTGTGGTTTCTCTAGGCAATTTATATCCAGTAGTTTGCCATTGCTTTAGTGAACTGATATTCTCAGTTATTTAACAAAGAATTGATTTTAATTTAATGGTTATTATTTCACCCACAAGAAAGCTCTGCCGTCTTAAATAAAATGTTGCCTTAGACATAAGTTAATTATATAAGAAAACAATCTTCTTCTTCTGTTTTCTCCTTCTCCTCTTCCACCACCTCATCTGGTGCACAATCTCGATCAAATATCAGACATCATAGCTCTTCAGGCCTCTGTTTTCTGATACTGTGTGTAATGTTAGCGTTGCTTATACTATTCTGTGTAGCCTTCATGTTTTATCTAAGATACAATTTTATGTGTACATTCTTTTACCTTTCTACCATGTTCTTCCAAAATTAGGTTAATTTATCTTGTCTATTGTTAAGCTACGAACAGCGGGGCCGCGTTAGCGCAGTCGATAAGAGGCTCGCTCTCAAATCCAGCTGCGACTCGCTGCAGCCCACGGTCGGTGTTCGAAACCGGGCACCTCCCGGGGTTAACCCAACCTCTAGGAAATTGATACCAGAGTTGGCACTCTGGGGTAAATGGAGGAACGTCGCTGAAGCTACAGAGTTACGAGCGAACGGCGACACAGGCGGACTATTCTTATCAGCTGTCCGAAATGGTGACAGAGCGCTTATGGTTTACAACCGTGTGCAATGACGTTGGTTCACATCTCCCGACTTTACCTTTACATCCTTTGTCTTTTCCTAATAACTATGCATGATCATATTATTAATTATTAATAACTCCAGCTTTTTGTACATTCGCGTTTGTTTTCTTCTCCTTCGACCAAATTCTCAGCATACTTCTAAAAACACACACATCCTGCCTCACTTTATTGATTTCAATTTTCAATATCCAATATTCGTATTGACGCAGAAGTCAAACATTTTCGTTCGTGTTAGCGATTTTTAATTATTATATTGCAATGACAAAATATTATATCTGTTTGCTAATTACACTTACCTTTTGTTTTTGTTTTTTAGAAGCTTTGGCTACTCACAGACAATTATGCTTCTTTTTCTCTACCCCTATTCTTTTGATTGGGGAAATCTTTAACACGAAACAAAATCACAAAATATCTCTGAATTCGTTAGTACTGCAAGACAGAACAGAAACACACCTAGATCGTTGAATGCACTAGTGCTATCCTCTCGGCTTAGTTCTGCTGCAGTTATCGCAGTGTCTACATTCACAGTGTAAGTTGGAAATCGCTGAGTCAATGTGTCGAGGTGTACTTTGTCCCACATCAGAACACGGTCAATTCATTCTCTCTCTTACTGCCCTTTTTTCTTTCTTTCTTTCTTTCTTTCTTTCTTTCTTTCTTTCTTTCTTTCTTTCTTTCTTTCTTTCTTTCTTTCTTTCTTTCTTTCTTTCTTTCTTTCTTTCTTTCTTTCTTTCTTTCTTTCTTTCTTTCTTTCTTTCTTTCTTTCTTTCTTTCTTTCTTTCTTTCTTTCTTTCTTTCTTTCTTTCTTTCTTTCTTTCTTTCTTTCTTTCTTTCTTTCTTTCTTTCTTTCTTTCTTTCTTTCTTTCTTTCTTTCTTTCTTTCTTTTCTTTCTTTCTTTCTTTCTTTCTTTTCTTTCTTTCTTTTTCTTTCTTTCTTTCTTTCTTTCTTTTCTTTCTTTCTTTCTTCTTTCTTTCTTTCGTTCGTTCTTTCTTTCTTTCTTTCTTTCTTTCTTTTCTTTCTTTCTTTCTTTCTTTCTTTCTTTCTTTCTTTCTTTCCCGTTATCTCTCTCTCCCCCTTCCCTTTCTCCCAAGCTAACTCTCTGTGTGTTTTTTTTCTGTGTGCGTTTCTCGCTTTCTGTTTGTGTCTGTACTCACTTTTTCTGCGTCTCCCTCTTTCTTATTTTTTCTTTCTCTCTTTCTCTTTTGCTCAATTTCACTCTCTTGTTTTTTTTTTCTCTGTACATTTCTCAACATCTCTCTCTCACTCTCGGCTTCTTCTTCTTTTTATTTTTCTTCTTCTTCTTCTTCTTCTTCTTCTTCTTCTTCTTCTTCTTCTTCTTCTTCTTCTTCTTCTTCTTCTTCTTCTTCTTCTTTTTCTTCTTCTTCTTCTTCTTCTTCTTCTTCTTCTTCTTCTTCTTCTTCTTCTTCTTCTTCTTCTTCTTCTTCTTCTTCTTCTTCTTCTTCTTCTTCTTCTTTGTCGTCGTTGTAGTCGTCGTCGTCATCGACGTTCATCCTCAAAAGGGCGGTTGACATATCGTATCAGTATTTACAGCTAGGCTGCATTATCTACGCCTTTCAGCTCAGCAACCGATTTCGGCAAGCAGTGCAATTGTGTGCTTGTATGCAACATGTTTGTCAAGTAGAAATAAGTCTACATCCCCTTTATCCCCCGTCTCCAAACCACCACCAGGCTACCAGAACCCTAACAGGAACATGGAGAAAAACAAGAGGGAAGGATAGCGGCGGGGGGTATGCCATGGAATGTTTAATTATTTGAATTATAATTAGTTGCCAGGATTTACATAGATAAAGAAAGCAAAGTAAAGGACCCTTTTCCACGCCTTTCAGGCATATTGGTGTACAGGGCTAGACCTATATTTTATATTCCAAACGGCACTTACTGGGTGATGTGGTCAGCATGGTGCCGACCGCCTTTACTTCCCAGGACTGCATCTGGTACCCACTCAAGGCTGGGTGGACCTGGAGCCAAATTCATCTTTGAAAAAAGTCCACCTCCGTCAGGAACTAAACCCACGACCTTCCGATCCGCAGGTAAGCGTCAAGCAGCTCGACCACAACGGCTTCTAGATAAAGAAAGTACACACATTTACCATTATTTATTTATAATATCATTTTAATTGTACAGTTCTCTTGCGACGCTATAGTGACATTTGTCACCTGTCTAAGGTCCTTGCATGGGTTCTAAGGCCTTATTGTGGGGTTTTTAAAAACCTAACAAGCATGTCGTATAATACTACTAATCCGAGGTATTTCCTTCGAAGTCAGAGTACATGTGCCTGAGAGGCTAGGAAGCGACAGTCTGCATACAAATAAGTCCGACCTGTGAACGTATGTGCCCGCAACGCTCAAATTCTTGGACAAGGACAAAGTCCAGATATGGGTAAACAACCTGAACACTTTCCGCAGGAGTTTATAACCGTTAAATGCTAAGAAGAAGAGGAAAAAGAAGAAGAAGGAAAAGACAAAAAAGACGAAGATGCGTCTAAGGATTGGTATACTAATGTTACATCCTAATTGTTATCTTTCTTGACCCCGCCGTGTTAGCACAGATGGTTTCAACGCACCTGTAAACGACGCAGTTAATCCGAGCATGACAGGAGAGTGTCATGTGTTAGATGTAGCCGGCGAACGTGGACGTTGATGATCTGTTTAACCCCAGTAGTGTGAACATACCAACCTCACTTTTAAGACGGATTAATACAGAGTTATGTGTATGTGTCAACAACCGTACCCGTGACCGGGGCTATATTATTGATAGATTAAATCAAATTACAGACGATGATTGACCTTTCTGCGCTAGTTTTGTTCCATTTGGCTCAGTCTAACTCCACAAAGAAGACGCTGCTAGCCGCCGCCGTTCTCTCTAACTCTAACCTGTTAGTCTACTGTTACACAACGATACTGGCTTCGTAATTTCAACATGACAGCCAAGCATTCCGTTCTCTTTGTTTGTCTAGGTAATATCTGCAGGTCTACAATGGCAGAGGGCGTGTTTGAACACCTGGTCAAAGAGCGGGGACTGCAAAATCAGTAGGTGATTGATAGTGCTGGCACTGGGGACTGGTATGTTGGCTACCCTCCGGATGAAAGAACCATGAAAGTGTTGAAGAAACATGGTATCCATGGGTACAAACATAAAGGACGACTAATAACACAAGCAGACTTCACCACATTTGAGTACGTATTTGGAATGAATCATGAAATCATATCGGATATCACCGAACTAGCCCTAGCAAACAGCACAGCCAAAGTTGCCTTGTTAGGAGAATTTGATCCACAGAAGGAACTCATCATAGAAGATCCTTACTTCACTGTTGTGAGTGGTCTTTTAAAATAAAAATATATTCAGATGTAAAAAAAAAAAAAGAAGAAGAAGAAGAAGAAGAAGAAGAAGAAGAAGAAGAAGAAGAAGAAGAAGAAGAAGAAGAAGAAGAAGAAGAAGAAGAAGAGATGAAAAAGAAAATGATGATGAAGAACTGCTACCCCTTCTTCTTCGTCTCTTCCTCTTCTTCTTTTTCTTGGTCAACTGTAACTGAATTGCGGTATCTTCATCACGTTTTCACTGTTATTATCTTATTAGTTATAATATTATTATTATAAGCTCTGGGTGATTTCCGCCTGTGTTGTCCATTCTAAGCTGAGTTTAGCCGTGTCAGGTCGCAGATGAGAGGACGACAGTCAGAGAATTAAGTATCAGGGAGACCAACATGCAGAGCAAACACTTCCACGCTTTGGATGTTGAAATATCGACACAAAGACAGAACAAAGGTCTTTGTGTTGATACAGATTATGTTGAGAAACAAAAACGTTGTATTGTATTAGTCGGAAATTTACTTGAAAAAAAAGAGGAGATTTTCTTGGTAGAAATAATATTGAAAAGAAGGGGATGGACTTTTTTGCAACACTAAATGGTATCGCACATTGAACAGGTGCTTACCATCGACGCCCAGGTGGCCGATTGGTCCGTCTATGTGCGTGCGACGTCACCAGTCGGGTAGGTGGTTGGGAGAGGGGCAGGGGGTAGTCATCGCATCAACACTACAAAAGCCCTTCTTTGGGCTTCTTGTCGGCCAACACTTGCCAGCTATTAACATGGCACAAATAAACACAGACCATAAATATAGCTGAATACTGCTGGCAGCCTCGCTGATAGCAGAAGGCCGAACTTGGTCGACGTTTTACTTGCCAACTCACCCAAAAATAATCCGTAACACCAACCCATATCACCTGTAGCATCTTGGACTTTCCCGGACACTACGGAATTTCCAATTTTGGATGCGAATTAAAAATAAAGTACCATTTTTGTAACCAGATTGTAAAACATGCATGCCATTTCTTAAAATGTACTTTTGGTCCAGTTCACGTTCCCCGGCCATCTACACACTATCTGACCTTTCATGCATACTTTCTCAGACTCCTTTACTTTAGAGGGGTGTCACGTTGTTCTTGCCTCCAGTTACACCAGCGCCGATTTCGCATGTTCCATACTACACGATGACACAGCTTTCAGTGACCCCAGAACATCTAGAACTGGCCCTAACCGGAACCCCTTACCCACAGCCTGAGCCTAGGTCACACGAGAGACTCTTTTTGAAAAAAAAAAGCAGTACAACCTGACACCCTCTGACCTAAATTAGACTAAGAAAGTGTGTAGATGGGCCGGGAAACGTGAACAGGACCCTACTTGTAATTTACTGGCTTCAAGTCATATGTATGTAATGTTTAATCAGTTAGTTCCACCTATTCCCCCACACCCCCCCTCTCCCACTTGACCTGATTCATCCCACACCGAAAGCAGCCACCACAGAAAGCCACACACTTGTCGCCATCAACACACCAAAGACTTACGTCACACAGCACATCAACTACTGGTGTGTATATCCCCGGTCATAAAATAAGATCAACCCGTGGGCCAGTTATCAAGTCTCAAGCCTGGATTTCCAACAACCTGTATAATTCTGTCAGCTTACCCGCTTCTTATCAGCGCGGCCTTGAGCTTGTTCAGTTTTATGACTGTCGGTAACTGATAGCTATAACTGCTACCAGATATTGGTTTGGTTTGGTTACGTTTGTAAGTGATAATAAACTGCCAATACCTGCCTTTATTTCCACTTATGCGGTGTATGCAGGGGGGAAGAGGGGGGGGGGGGGGTCTTTGAGCCTAAGGATTTACGGTCGCTTGGCTAGCGCTATCGCCACGACTATGCAGGTGAAGATTTTATTTGCCCCCTACAAAAAAAAATAATAATAATCACGAGCCTTACCAAGGATTCGAACCCAGCTCTCCCGCTTGAGAGTCAAGAGCTCTAACCGTTCGGCCAGCCTTTCCTCTTTAGATTGCAATACTGGCCGGATATTCAGATGCATTCAGTAAGTCTCCAGGCCTTTTTTCAGTCATCATCATGTGCCTGGGCATGGGCGTTCATGCCTCTCCATAATCTGCGATCTCCTGCAGCATGTATTAGTTCGTGTGCCGACACACCTCCATGCCATGCAACAAGACTGTCAAGAATCTTCTTTTGTTGTCTTCCTCTATCACTCCTTTCACAGATTTTTTCCAGTGGTCACAACATGTTCCATTGTCCCTCTTCTCATAACATGGCCGAACAATGATGACTGTCTCCTTCTGGTGTGTGTGATAAGTTGTCTTTGAGCTCCCGCCTCTTTCAAAACCTCATGGTTGCTTTTTTTTTTGTGTGGCTTTTTTAGCACACCACTGGAAAAAAAAAAAGAATATATACAAGGTGCACCCCAGTGCCAAGGTGTGCATGTAACAATTGTAAACACTTTGTATACTTTCCACTGCATGAAATAGTTTAGTTTTATCATTTACTGGTTTCTATTTATTGCAAAAAAGCCACACTGTCTCACCGAACATGTAAAGCTTCCTAAAACTATTCACATAGCAAAAAGAACACTCGCTGCATGCTCACCCCACTCATAGAGAATCTGTAACAATTGAAAGCAATCACTTACTAGCACTTCGATGCTTCATGTGCGGCTCATTCTCTCAACTGCTAAGCGTCGAGGAGGAAATTATCACGTGACACCTTTTCCGGCGTAATCGTTATCTTCCAACGCTAACACGTGTAACCTGATCATGCCAGCGACCAAAATGGGGAAGCGAAAGTATAACTGAAGACATACAGCATGGGCTTTAGGACTTTACTCAATACATCTGTTGTCATGCAAAGATGCCATCTTTTATATATGAGCAAAGATACATCGGCTATAGTCTGTTTAAGAAGTGGTGCCCAGCTTTAAAAATCTGTAACTCAGTAATTGTTCTGTGTAAGTTGTTGAAATTTGGCATAAAACCTATTAAAAAGCATGTCATTGTTTTAAAAAAAAAAATCTTGAAATGTAAACAAATAGTTTTTTTTTTTCCTTTTCATTTTGCCTTATTTTCGGGAAATGGAGACCAGAAAAAAAGAGACACTGATTCAAAGCGAAGAGTCAGCATGTTACAGTGATTTGAGTAACGAAGCTTGTTAAAACACCAAACTGCACTAGTTTCACAGCCGTTTTACTCTTACGTGGTCACCTCCAGCATTAGTCTCCCATAAGTGGCGGGTTTGTCATGTATACAGGCATCCTTGCACATGTTACCCGATTTCCAAACAATCTTCACAGTTGTATCAATTTATAATTCAAACAATGACAACATAAATTCACCACTTTAGGGAAACAGCAGCATCTGTGCAATTGTATATTACAAAGTCATCAGAACATGGGAAGTCTATAGCTAAATGCAAAACATTCTTGTTGATTCGTACAGGAGTTTTGAGACATTTATTCAAGTATGAGTGCAGGAGTTTTATAACGCAGTATAACGAGTGATACAGCTAACGAATTTACCGGCTAACCAAGACACTTTTCGCCTTCTCTTCCCCCCCCCCCCCCCCCCCCGACCTCGGCTAATTCATGTGTATTCGGCTAACGAATAATTTTGTGGATTCGTGCGCTAACATAACGCGACTATGCTGTGAGCTGAAACCTACAGGGCGTCTTATGTCGGCTAAAGGAGATTGTGGCTAACGAATGTGATTGTAGGAATGTGATAGGCTGGAAAACGACAATGACTACTGCTCAGCATCTTCAAGATCTTGATTTTGTCGAGTTTAAAAATGACTAAGAGGTTACAGGAACAGCTTTTAGTTTTAGACAGTGAAATGGGGACAAGTCTGACCACTGGGTATAAAAATGCCAACTGACTCAGTATTTGCCTTCTATTTGACTTCCGGAAGCACCCTGTGGAGACCTACCCGGCTGTTGTAGCTCTGCACTTGTGCTCGCCAGCATGGGTGTTGGCGACTACAGAGGAAGGCCGGTTGTCAAGCTGATTTCGCAGGCGGTGGTATGTTTCTATATTTAGTCCTGAAATAGTAGTCTCTAGTAGTTATACTGTGTAATATGTAGGTGTGTATTCTCGCTAGGATGGCAGGTACCTATAAGCGATTTGTTGGTCTGGTGGCATATTGAAGCTTACCGTACATGTTAAATATGTTTCGGTTTTTGCCATTGTTGAGGTACTCGCGCTGAGCGTATGGTTTCATTATTATATTTCCTTGTTAGCTGATGATCGCATTATATTCTGGTTAATGTTAATGTTTTTTGTGGACCACGCTGATTTTATATTAAATAAAAAATTTAAAAAAAACCAGATGTTCATTGTAGTAATCATAGATCCATTTGTTTTTCGTTCAGATAAGAACTTGTAGTTAGTGTGCCTAGTTTAGTTTATTTGTTGCTTGGCTGATCTAGACTTTACACAGAAAATTTCTTGTCAGGGTGAGATACTTTTGATCTTACTCCCGCCTAAACGAACTTTTCCTCTTTTTTTTTTTTTTTTACTGAGGCAGCTTATGTTTGGGTTTAGGCTCCCACTCGCCACTTCACATTGTTAGAACTCTTGTGTGTTCGGAGTCGAGGAGATTTTAAGGAGTGGATTTCCGTGTAATCCTTTGTAGTTTTCTCTTATCTTTCCCCCATTACAAGATACCCCCGTCTGCGTCGCTTCTAGTACAGGACGAATTATGTTTATTAGTCGGGGTATAACTGTACTGGCAAATCGCTTTTACCCACTGTTTGTGGTCACTCAAAATTCAAGAACCTACTTTTATGAAACGTGTGTTTGCATTGCAATTGAAATATGCCTATAGTAGGTTAACAAGATTACTTTATTTCGTGTCCTATGATATATTTTTAAATTATCCATGTGACGTCTGGGAGTGACATGTTTAGGCTGTCACACATTACCCAAATGTATGCCGCTGTCTGTCCATCTCTTGATGTTATCTTTCCACTTGCGTCGTTTTTCCACCACTTGTTGTTTTTCCCTCGATCTTTCCTTTCAGTATGGTTTTTTCTAAAAAAGTATTGTGATTTTTTACGTGACCAGTATATTTCAACTGTCTCTTTTTTTTATTTATTTCAGTAATTTCTGTCTCATTCGTAGTCTTTTCAGAATCAATGTATTTGTCCCCCCCCCCCCCCCCCCCATAAAACATGAACTTTACACAAGCACAAGCCTAGTTGCTGGATTATACGTTACGGCTAGAAAACCATAAACGGAGGGAATATTACTTGAGGAACTCACATGGAGGAATATTACTTAAGGAAATCACACGAGGGAATATTACTGGAGAAACTCGCATGAGGGAATATTACTTGAGGAATTCACATGAAGGAAAATTACTTGAGAAACTCACATGAGGGAATATTACTTGAGGAATTCACATGAAGGAAAATTACTTGAGAAACTCACATGAGGGAATATTACTTAAGAAATTCACAAGAAGGAATATTACTAGAGGTATTTACAAGAGGGATCATTACTTCAGAAACTCACATGAAGGAATAGTACTTGAGGAATTCACATGAGGGAATATTACTTGAGTAATTCACATGAGAGAATATTACTTGAGTAATTCACATGAGGGAATATTACTTGAGAAACTCACATGAAGGAATATTACTTGAGGAATTCACATGAAGGAATATTACTTGGGAATTCACATGAGAGAATATTACTTGAGAAACTCGCATGAGGGAATATTACGTGAGGAACTCACATCAGAGAATATTACTTGAGAAACTCACATGAGGGAATATTACTTGAGGAATTCACATGAGGAAACATTACTTGAGGAACTCATATGAGGAAAAATTACTCGAGGAACTCACATTAGGGAACATTACTTGAGGAACTCACACGAGGGAACATTACCTTAGGAACTCACATAAGGGAATATAACGAAAGCGACTCTAGGAAAATAAATTAAATAAGTGACCCTGAGATAGTAAAACATCATTAAAAGTTAGAGGGAATAAAAGATAAACATTCTGTAGGGACTTAGAAAAAGTGCGTGTGTGCTCAAGCTGGAAAGTGTAGAAGTAAATTAATTGTCCATAACCCTTACATATATATTCATTGCTGGAGGAGTACATTCTCAGTCGGTTCTCAGTTAAACATACAATCTCGGTTCGCAGAGGAAGGGACGAAAGTATGAACTATATTTTCAGAGGTTTGTGCAGCTGGGCCTCAGTCCATACCTACAGTAGCTCGTTGAAAGGTGACGGAACAGATAATAATAACATCATCAATAACGTTTAACCGTTATTTGCAAACGCTGGAATATGCAATAACATGGCTGGAGTCACAGGCCGCCCCCTTGCATGCCATCTCGGTGTCTCATCGAGTATGCTGAGGGAGAGAAGGACTGGATTCGAACACAGTGACTGGAGTCTCTAAAGCGGTCAGGGCATACACGTATCAGTTCATATTTGTGCCAGGTTACGCAGGCGTACAATGCAATGATCAAGCTGATCGGCTTGCAGGTATAGTTACTGTGAAGGGCGGACAAGCCATGGACCATGCTGATATTCTAAATGTCCTACGAGAAGTTAGACGTTTGCAAGAACCAAGTTAATGTTGTTGCTGTTCTTGAATTAAGAATCGACATCCAGGCATTCGGGACACTCCAATATGCGCTCTGTTACCATCTTCAGCAGCAAGCGAAGAGTTCCAGTTTTGAAGGCACAAGTAACTGTCGATTGTACATCCGTCCAGTGTTTTCCTTGAGCGTCGGCCATATCCCCGGGTAACTCCGCGCAGCGCCATTCGCCTCAGATCGTAATGATCTATTTGTTGTCTGTAGTAAGAATATTCAAAAAGGCTTCCAATTGTATGCAGAGAGCTAGTGGATTCGATCTAGTGAATATCTTTGATTCGCCTTGAAAGTGGGTTTAACGTATGAGTTTCGGAGTCAGCTAAGCCTGTTTTGTTTAAGTCTTTCCTAGAGGTGCCCCAAGAAGGATTCACATCTCTGACGCCCATGCAGGGTGGGATTTATAGACTTCATGGGACCATAAACTATATAAAACTCGGAGGTTTCTGCCGTTTTAAATTACACCAGCTAATCTGGGGTGAGGGTGGAAAGGGGGGGGGGGGCAACTTTCAACAGGCGATAATCCTTTGCTTTGTGTCTTTGACTGTTATCTAGGCGTGTGCTCTAAAAGATGTTATAACGAGCAATGCACCGATGTTATAAGCAGAGGAGACATCTTCACGTTAACAAAGTGTATTGACCAATATGCACTCACGAATATGTCCTGTCAAAGCTCCACATAGAAACACGTGGTTGTTCTCCCCTTCTTGAGAACCTCGTTTTCTCCAAGTATTTGGCCTCTCTCGTTTTTCTGTTGTTTCCCCCTACCTTCTTAAAACGGGAATCCCCGTGTGAAAATATCCCAAATTGCACAAATATATACG